GCTTAAACTGTGAGCAGAGATCCGGAATAGATGTTAGGAACAACTTTCTAAGAGTCAGGATAGTTAAGCGACGAATTGTCCCTGGAGGGTGCGAAATCTCCACCCAGGAGGGTCTTAAAAGCTGATTACTCAAATACATCAGGAATGACGGAGTTCCGCTTCATCCAGCCTCGGGAGTTGCTCCAGCCAACCTCCTAAGATCACTTGATTTTTCTTCTGTGACCACAGCTACTATCCAACACGTAGCGGCTGTGTTTGCCTCTTCACTTTGTCCCTTTACCAGTGGAAATTGCCTAACTTGGCTGCGTATAAACAAGGGCAGAGAACAGCTTGGCTTGAAGTTTCAAATGAGCAAAAAGGACTCTCGGTAGGAGTCAGGCGCTTCACTCTTTTATCAGCTTTGTAAACCTCGAGCTTAGCAGCTTTGTGATAACCTTTTACATTTCATCTTCCAGCTGACTGTTAGGTTGGATGTTTGTCCAGATAATAGAGTTTATCATTGCCAAACATATGCAGAACTCTCTTGGTAAAGTACGTGTATACATTGGCTGGGGATTTGTTTTACTCTCCCGGTAGTGTAACGGAGGGCTTTAAAAACTATTATTTGGGATAAGAAGGGTTTTACTTCCAGCTTATAAACGTATTAAAGTAGCTTAAGGTTTTTAGTGCTCCCCATCATTAGCTGAATTTACTGTGAAACATGATCTTTTTTTTTTTTATCAATTCTAGCCAGAACTCAGCAAAAAAAAGTTCTGCTGCAGATGATTTCAGAGCTTAAATTATAAAGGTTATAATTTACATAATTATATAAAATATAAAGGTATATTTTCCTCCTTTCGGCAGACTTTCCAAGCTTTTCTGACCCAGAAGGTCATTGCACTAAAACCAAAGAAAATACTTCTTGTGGAGCTGCAGAGAAAGAGAAACTCATTTAGTATCAGCCAGATACGGTCTAGCAGGATAGGAAAGGGTTCCTATGTTTATTTTTTAACCAATGCACAATCTTTACTGACCTAAGCGTTAGTTTTATTCAACACGCAAAAATGAATTTTAAACCCTGTATTCTTACTGTGATTAGCAAAACAGCGTAACATAAAATACAGTTCTAATAATTAATCTATTCTAACAAAGACATACGTTGTTGAGACTGCTGAATTTTGTGTCTCTACTTACACCAGTGTTTGAAATACAGTTTTGCAGTTCCCTTTAATTCAAGAGGCCAAATTCTGTCCTCACATTCAAACAGTTAATCCCCCTGAAGTATGGTAAAATAGTGCATTCTTATTGGAAGGCTAGCTTTATCCTGGTATCTTACTAGGTTCATCTGTATAACAATTGATACATTTTTCCGGGTTCGATTTGCTCTTTTAGTCCCACAGCAATTGTTTTGACCGAGCGCAGCGAATGCAGCCCCATGTGTTTTGAATAAATGCTCTGTTGCAGGGAAAGGATGTTCCCAACCCCGCATAACAGAATGTGATTGATTCGGTGCTTGGATAATTAAAAGATGGTTCTCTTTGATGTGTTCAAGAGTCCTGAAATAAAAATTCAAAGTTTTCTAACTGTATTAGATAAACTGATTTAGAAAAGGTTTTAACAGATGAAAACCAGCGCGCAAGCAGATACAGTATCATAAATCTGATAGGAATAGTATGCTAACGCAGAGTAGTCAGACATTTAGAATACTTAAGTATCTCAAGAGCCTTGGCCACTTTAATTCTAACATGGGAAGAGTAATAGAGATTTCTTGGAAAAAATTGCATGTTTTGAAACATTTTGGAATGAAAAATATTAACAAATTCATCTTTCAAAGATTTGGACAGGAAGATGTAACTATATGTGAAGCCAAATGTGTTATATGGGGGGGGGGGGCTTGCAAAACTCCTAGAAGACATGCAAGTGTTATGCAGAAAGCAAAAAAAACCCAAATTCTGCTCAGCTTTGAATTGGTCTGTTTTTTGATATATTCAAGCTCATGCTCTATGCAGCCTTTCAAATATTTGTGTATATAAATACTTCCCAAATAACTAGTAGCAGCTAAGATCATATCTTTCTTAGTCGTTTTTTTTTATTTCTTAATTTTGGAAGGTGCCAGGCAACGCTTCAAAAAATCCGTAATTTGGTCCTTTGAAACTCAAGCTCCAGGTTAGCTCTCTGTTCTGGTAGACCTATTTTGTGTTCAGCCTTTTCATCACTCTCGTAGACAGGATTGCGCAAATAATCGGGCAGTCTAGATGCTTTACCTCGGACGCTGTGTGTTACTCGCTCTACTTGGATGCGAAAAGCATGATAAGGATTACGGGGAGATGTAGCAGATGGGCTGACATGATTTATAGCGAGATAGCTGTGCCAGCGGTTGCCTTTTCGTTTTGAGCGTTGCCGTCTTTGATGCATTTCTTTCACCGCTAGCTCCCAGAGCCATGCGAAAGCGTGTTGGGTCGGTGCAGTCCCTCCCGGAAACGGCGCTCGAGCGACCCTGGCGCCTTTTCTTAGGGAAGAAGAACATCTCTGTCCTTGCTAGCCGTGCAGAAGAGCCAGCTGGTGCAGCCCCAGCGCGCGCCCAACGTTAAATAAACAAACAAGCGGAGAGGACAACCTTTGTTTACTTTTCCCGCCG